TTTATTAATTTACGTTTCATAACTCATGTGTTTATAAATATTATATATACACACATATTATGTATATATATATATATGTATATATATATATATATGTACATATATACAACTAGGTGTCTTCCATACATACACAGGGTATGCCACTAGTCTAGAATATCAACTTTTAGGGCCACGATAGTAAGATGTAAAATCAATGTCCAAGAAGAATCTCCATTTTTTTATCCGCTCATCTTGCTATTTGGCAGATAAAGACCTCCGTAAAACAGAGGATTTCGCGGACAAGATGGGAAAGACCGTTTGAACGGCCACATGAAATTAAGTTTTAAAACAAAGAACGGAGAAGTTGGCAGTTGCGTCAGTGGTTATCAGGAACATGATCACGAAAAAACAGCTAACTAGAATATTAAAACAACAGGCATTATAATTTTTCGAGACATAAAAAAAGAGCATCTCCCCAGTGAAAGATGGGCAACAATTTTGCCTGTAACATCGAAATATGGAAAAAAAAGGACCAAAAAAGCAGAAAAAAAAATTGCACCGGTAATATATTGCAGGTAGAAACTGTCAAACTGCGCTAGAAGGCAAACAAATGAACAACAAGGGCGCTAAATTATGGGTACCTAGAAAAAGTTATAGGAAAAAATATGGTGAAGATTGTGAACGTATAAGAGAAAATTCATTTGAACACCATGAACTCCAATTTGAAAGAAAATCTATTTTTCCTACCTCTTATACAATTCTACAAGAATTATGTAAGAGACAAAAAATAAAGGAACTACCAGCTATAACAATGGCAAGAAAGAACACAAAAAGTAAGGGGAAACAGGCAAAAATACTGTACATCAGGCACCGTTTTCCTCCTCACTGCGGAAAACTGCATAATCGCTATCAATAAAATGGCTGTTTTTTTTAATATGCAAATTACACAATGTGCAAAAAATGAATTAACTAACTTCGCATTACGATGAAAAGCGACCAAAGTAAGTTGAAAAGTTTTTTGCATGTCACTCGTTCCGAACTGTCGTCATCCTCGGCCGGAGGCGAAAATACCTTTCGAAAGATGGGCAGCAGTTTTTTGTAGACCACAGCTGTGATGGCCAGCGAGGACTGAACTCGACTTACATGCTCCTGCAGTCGCCGTGGTCCATTTATCATCTCCAGCCATTTGATCACTTTTTCGAAAAATTCCAGCACACTGAAATCTCGGACAAATGATGAATTTTGATAAACAGTGGGGCAGTCCACGTCGTGGAACTCAGACATGTCAAGTTCAGCACCCGGGTATGCGTGGTTCTCATGTTTGGCCTCATGAAAATTTTTGACGGGAAAATCATTAACTTGGGGACCAGAAAAGCTAGAAAGCTGAAATTTTGTGGGGATGTTCCCTGTTCAAGTACCGATTATGCAAAAACGCCATCCACCAATCGTTTTTTTTTCCAATGAGTACGGGAAATCACAGAAGGCATGAGTCTGTGGTCTCGAAAAACGTCCAGAATTGTGTGTTCCCAAAACGCAACGTTCTTAACTTGCGGATCATTTATTTCAGAAAACGTGCACACATATATCTAGTGACGAAGTCATCATACTTTTTCACAGTCAAATAAGAAAAAGACACAAAAACTAAAAAACGCTTTACAAAAGTTTAAAAAAACATGGCCGCTATGGCATTTTGTAGAAGAAAAAACGACCCAACGAAAACTGACTAATGAGTAATAAAGTTTTGGCCACCATAATCCGAAAGAGGGCATACGTCCGGATGAAACAAAAATAGCTAACCGGAATAAAAAATTCAGAAAATACCTGATTTTACAAATTCGAATGAGCATGGACAATGGATATTTCTTCTGCGCTTCTCGCTCCAGTGGGGCACCTTGCCATTGGGCCATGTACAGTGCGCAGCCATACCATCCATCTTGTTTGCCCTGAAAAACCGGCTTATGAATGAAACAAGTACAAGTTCATCAATTTAGTATATTAGCTGACAATGTGATGTCGCGAAGTTGTAAAGATGCAGCTCGGAACTGGAGAGATGGATTTTTTTTAGCCAAATTGATTTGATTTAAATGGAAATTTTTGAATTTTGACCCGAACCCTAATAAAGCAATAGAATTAATGACTTAATGCTTACCCTGTCGTGGTGCTGAGTTAAGGCGTATATGACTTAAAAGAACGAAACGTCTTATCTTACCCTTATCTCCTCTCATACTATAATCTATCGCGCCTTCGCCACTTAGGCTTCTAGGGTTAACCTGGTTGCTACAACCTGCTCAATATCTCGTCCAAAATTAGAAAAACCAAAGACCATTTGGGCTTTTTAGCATATAAATGTAAAAATTTAAGTAATTCGGTTAGATATGTGCTCGTATTAATTTATTATCGAAACGAATGAACGAATCGTAGAAGGACTGATTCGTACAGTGGTGACACAATCGAACTCATGACCTTCTGCACCACAGTAGTTACTTTTACCGCACTAAGCCAGTGTGTTAAAATCAAACAAGATGCATCGGACATACACACACACACACATACACACACGTACAAACATACACATACGCATACATACACACACAAACACACACATACATAAACACAAACACGCACATGCACGCCAACTTATATATACAAACACATACATAAAAACACATACATACAACCACATACACACAAACACATACATACAAACACATACGCACACACGCGCACAAACACATACACACAACACACAAACACATACATACAAACACATACATAAAAACACATACACACAAACACATACACACAAACACGTACACACAAACACACACACACACAAACACATACACACACAAACACATACACACACAAACACATACAC